TGAACATTTATTTATTAAAGTTATTTTGTCGTATGTTTCTTTTAATATTCTCTTTAAACAATCTTTTTCTATTATTAAATATACTATTCTTTCTCTGCTTATTTACTCTTATCTGATTTTCTTACAATTCAAAATATTACTCTTTTTTCTCTCGTTTTATTTGTCTTTGTTTATTTCTTCAGCCTAAACCCTAAACCCTAAACCCTAAACCCTAAACCCTAAACCCTTGGTTTAATTTGTTATTTTATTTGTTTTTATTTTTATTTTAATGAATTTCTCTCTGATTGCTTTGCATATCTTTGCTCTCTTTGTTTTTTTGTCTTTTTTCTGTTGCTGCACTTCCCTCTGTTTATTTGTTTGTTTGTTTGTTTGTTATATTCATTTATATATTTATATTTTTATTTGTAATAGTAATATTACAATGAGAATAATATAATTCTATAATTATATTAACTATAATATTACTATCTAATTCTAATATAATATAAAATGAAGAAATATTTACAGATTACATATATATATATATATATTTATTTATTTATTTATTTATTTAATATATAATTCTCCTTGTAAATTTTGTTTGTTTGTTTGCAAGCAAAAAATGTTACATTAAAAATAATGCAGTTGGTTCTTTGAAAGAAAATAGAGCCGGCTTATAAATAAATAAACCCTAAACCCTAAACCCTAAACCCTAAACCTTAAACCCTAGACCCTAAACCGTCACCTGTAAACCCTCTTTGAACCCTAAACCCTAACCCCTAAACCCTAAACCTTAAACCCTAAACCCCAAACCCTAAACCCTAAACGATTAGCAAAAGAGACAATAAACTTCTTAGTAATTCTTTTTATGCTTTTTTAAAGAAAGAAGAAATATCTGCTGTAAATGTTTTTGAAGTTTTCTTCGGCTTGAGTATTGAAGCGCGAGGAGGAGCAACAAATTCCTTCTCAACTTCTGCAGCACAATCATAAACCCTAAACCCTAAACCCTAATCAACCCTTTTAAACCCTAATAAACTCTTTTAAACCTTTATAAACCCTAAACCCTCAACTCTAGCACTGAATTTTCATGCAGCCAACCGCTGCGATGTGCATAACCACGGATTAGGGTTTAGGGTTTATGAGGGTTTATAAGGGTTTACAAGAGTTTATAAGGGTTTATATATTAGGGTTTATAAGGGATTATATATTAGGGTTTATAAGGGTTTACATATTAGGGTTTATAAGGGTTTATATATTAGGGTTTATATATTAGGGTTTATAAGCGTTTATATATTAGGGTTTATAAGGTTTATTAGGGTTTATATATTAGGGTTTATTAGGGTTTATATATTAGGGTTTATACGGCTATATATACTAGGGTTTTTAGGGGTTTATAAGGGTTTATTTGAGTTTATATATAAGGGTTTATTAGGGTTTAGATATTAGGGTTTATAAGGGTTTAGGGTTTTGCTTGCCTATGGGTTGCTCTGCCTCCAAACCCTCATTAAATATTTTTTCTTCTTCTTCCTCGCAGATTGCATACTTACACTCTGAGACACAAACCCTAAACCCTAAACCCTAATACACCCTTTTAAACCCTAATAAACCCTAGAAAACCCCTATAAACCCTCATAAACCCTAATTAACCCTTAAAAAACCTTACAAACCCTAATAAACCCTAGTGAACCCTTATAAACCCTAATAAACCCTAATAAACCCTAATAGACCCTAATAAACCCTAATAAATCCTTATAAACCCTTATAAACCCTTATAAACCCTATGCCCTTATCACTCCTAATAAACCCTAAACCCTAAACCCTAAACCCTAAAAAGCAAAGATTACCCTGAAGAAATTTCATTGGCATGCCGCCTCTGGTGATCATCGCCACTGCAGCAACACCAAACCCTAAACCCTAAACCCTAAACCCTAAACCCTAAACCCTAAACCCTAAACCCTAGTAATAAACCCTTTTAAACCCTTATAGATAAACACTAATAAACCCTTGTAAACCTGAATAAACCCTTATAAACCCTCATAGGTTAAACCTAATAAACCCTTACAGACACTAAGAAACCCTTGGAAACCCTAATAAACCCTTAAAACCCTTATATATAAACCCTCATAAACCCTAATAAACCCTTATAAACCCTTATAAACCCTAACAAACCCTTAGAAAACATAATAAACCCTTATTATAGATAATAATACACCGTTCAAAACAAGTATAAACCCTCAGAAACAACCCTAAACCCTCAAGACTCCTATAAACCCTAAACCCTAAACCCTAAACCCTAAATTACTTACAGACATCATCTAGAGTTAGGGTTTTTTCATTCTCCCGCATCGACAAACTTTGAGAGGTGAAATGACGCAGCGCAGCTGCCTGAAGCAAACCCAAACCCTAAACCCTAAACCCTAAACCCTAATAAACTCTTATATACCCTTAAATACCCTTATAAACCCTCATAAACCCTTATATACCTTTATAGACCCTAATATATAAACCCTTATAAACCCTT